ATCTGATGCACTATTTGCATTTATGACCAGTGTCTCGCATTTGTGAACAAGTGTTCGCAAATGCGACATCTGCAGTTGGGTAAAAGATTAGTGGTTGGGACTTAGCTCATTTTACACCATTTTTTAACCCTAAGCTCTTTAGTGTCGATTTTCGAAGAACTTATTCTTCCCAAATTCATTGGTAAGTATTTCTAATACTTTTCAATCAAGTTCAATTACTTTTCATGAATTTTAACATCAAATCTATGAATTTCATGGTAGATATTAGGGGTTTTAGGTAGAATTTAGGGATTTTACAAACTTGAGATTTAGACCTCAAATTGAGATCAAATTTCGAAACAAATCACATAACCGAGCTCGGGGGTGAATGGGTAATCGGGTTTTGATCTGAATATCGGATTTCGACCAAGTGAGCCCCGGGTTGACTTTTTTGAATTTTTCAAAAATGATCAATATTGAACCTTTTTCATTCATAGGTAGTTTCTAAAGCTTATTTTGAATTGTTTGATCGATAATCGGCTAGATTCGGTTGGTTTGGAGGCTTGTTCAAAAGGCAAAGCCGTGATTGATTGTTGATTTGGTTGTGGAGTGAGGAAAGTGTCATGGTTAACTTTGACTCGAGGGAATTAGGACTTGTTTGGTCTATTTGATATATGAACTAAGTGTGGGGATGGCATATTTGGAAGGTGACGAGTATATATATGTTGTCATGGGTTAAAGCATGCGGGTGAAAATTGTCTTGTTTGTACCATGGTGATTCATCTACTATGCTTTCCATGTCTTAGCTGGATTGTTTATTCTTTAATTGTTCGCTTCCGTGTTCATCTCTCAAGTTGAGGTTGTTGTGATATTGAAAGTTGAATTTGCCTATTCTAGCACCATGGTTGAAGTTGAAATTTGCTTTCCATCTTACTTAATACTTTGGGTTGTTATTATTGCTTAGTGAGGAAGAGTAAAAATCATGAAGGGTATTGTCGTACCATATTTGTGAATACTTCTATTATCCAAACATAGAAGCGAAAGGAAATCCAAGTATAGTATAAGTATCCTTCTCTTTCTCTTTTTCTTTCTCTTTTCTATCTCATTCTCATTGTCTGAAATATTTTGTTTGGACTTCAAGCAACTTTTCAATGAGTAGACTAACTTTTCAAAATAAAAAGAGCTCCAATGGAAAGAAGAACAGAGTTGATCATCATCAATGATTTTTATTACCCGCTTAGACGCATTTTTAGTCTTACGCTTACCCATCAACACATACTCAACAAAATAGATTGTTGCCAACTTCATTGTGTAGTTGTCGCTACCTATTCTCTCTTTCATTCAAAAAGTTGAAGTCCCCTGAAGAAGAACATTTCTAACCCAGTAATTATGTGTAAGGCTTCACTTGTAAACTTCACTTCGCGATCCAAAAATCTTAAATGTCATTGAATTTTTATCATTCCTTACAATTTCATAAATCAACATACAATGAATTAATTTGCCACAAAATTTAACACCTTTCGACCGGAAAAAATTTCCAAAATACCCTCTCTCAATTTCTTCCATTGTGCTTTCAACAAGAAACTTTTTATTGTTTTCTTTTATTGAAAATCTCCTTTCCAATAACTATTCAGATTACGCCAGTCGTAAAAAGATCGATCTCCTTCCATTACCATAATACTCAGAGCTTGTATTTATAACAAATTCAGTTTACCAATAAATAATATATTAAATATATCCAATAATCTACAAAGAAGGAAATAGCAGGTAAGCATCAGGACTATTTTCCTGTAATGTCCTGAATATTTAAAGTAAAAAATTAATATTCAGGACCTAATTTCAGGCTAATGTCTGAAAGTGCTAAGGTCATATCTGTGAACTTAGAATCGACAAAGAAGGAAATAGCTGGTAAACTTCAGGACTAATGTTACGAAAGACATGAGAGTGAGAAAAGATTATCAACGAACTAGTAAGCAACAAACTCTAATCAGGCAATCGCCTAGTACACTTTGTTCCCTTCTCACTCGAGTAATAATACTTAAATCGATTAATAGTGAAGTTCTTAATACCAACTCACATGTTTATATGGCTCCAGAAATTGTAGGGTTCTCCATCCTCTTCTTAAATCTTAGTAAGTATGGAGTAAATGTTTGAGTTTTCTTTTAAATAAGGGATCTAAAAATGAAAATAAAAAAGGTTCAAAGATTGAATAATTGACAACATTAGGATTCAAGTTCAGCATCATAGAAATCGGAATGTAATAAAAACAACCAAGTAGAGGAGGCATAATATAAGAANGAACATGTTTAAACCGAAATTATACTTACGTATAGGACGTTGATGAAAATTGATGAAAACTCTTGTAATTTTTTGGAAAAATTTACTACTGCGTGTTGGGAAGTCAAGCAAGGTTCAGTCTTCTCTCCATAAGGGAAGAAACGAGGGTTTTGATAATGAAAAAGGTTTGGAAAAGAAAAGAGATGAAGAAAATGTAAAAAAGTCCTTTCTTATTTATTATAACAGAGTAGTGACTATTTTTGCTGAGCATTAAAATTGATGGCTAAACACTAAATAGCAAGTTAAAAACTGGCCACCCGAAAAATTCAAAAATAGCCAGATTTACAAGTGGTCATTCAAAAGTAGCCACAGTTTTAAAAGTAATCGCAATTTGGCCACTTTTCATGTAAAGATAAATCTGAACGAAAAAACTGTTCAAAATCCGGAAAAATACTCCAATATAATATACTGAAACTCTAGTATATTATACTGGTCCAACATAATATACTGGAGATTGGAGCACCGGTGCTCCAATATCAAGTATATTATACTGGAAATTTCCGCGTATTGGAGTTCCAGCATAATATGCTGGAAGTTCATACACAGGTGCACCGATCTCCAGTATATATGCTGGAACTTTCCGTGTTGCAGCAAAATAGTAGCTATTTTTCAATGACTTTGCAAATGCTGGCTATTTTTGAATGACCAGTCCGAAAACTGGCTAGCCCGTGATATTTTTACCCCTACGTCATTTCCACAAGAATAAGCTCTTCAAACTAGGCCCGCATGCATAGGTCGATAACCATCTAATAAAGGGGTGCTTTGCACAAACGTGACATTTTCACTAGTATTTAAATTTTGTTACCGTTTTGAGAGCTATGCAAAAAGGGCCTTATTTTAGCTGAATGACATTTTTTTTTTAAAACTAAAACACCCTAAAACACAACACTAATCTTTTTCATCACCCAAATTGAGCCAATATTCCACAGCTTTTGGGCTTTTATTTGTGGCTGCTGCTATTGCCACTGCTAGTATTAATAAGCTTATCATACGAATGACTATTAGCTTCTCCATTTCCTTCTTGTTTCTACAAGAAATAGGAATTCATAGGATTGATTAAAAGAAAGAAGATATATAAAGATTAGTTCTATAGAAAGATAAATCACCTATTGGAAAGTATGTTTGCCACTTTGGTTGTCATATTAAATCTGAATAATAATATTTTTTGGCTGCCTACAAAAATAATAGCTCGCAAATGTATATATTTTATATACTTGAATAAATATACATATAATGTATGTAATAAGTATATTTTATGTATTTAGGCTACCGCCTGTAATTATTTTTGGTTGTTGGGCCAAAAATAAAAATAGCCCAATCAGAAACACCTTTATCAACATCATTGATTGAGAAGCGAGTTTATCAATCGTAATTAAATTTATTCCAACCAATAGTCGGAGACTTTGAGTGTTCAATTATTCACAAAATTCTACCAGGTTGGTATAGTTTTGTGTTATATTCTTTTTACCTATTTTGTTTAATTATTCATAAATTTTAACGATTGGCATGACTTTGATAGTTCAATTGTTCACCAAACTCTACCATATTGGCATGACTTTGGTGATATATCTATTCTATCTCGTTCATTGGTCACAAATTATACTGGATTGTCATGACTTTGTGCTATATTCTTATTCAAATGTTCCTAAATTCTACCGAATCGTCATAAATTTATGCCTGCATGACTTTTGCTTGTCCAATTATTTACCAAACACACCAAATTAGCATAACTTAAAAGTTATATGCATTCGACCAATCTGTCAAATTGTTAACAAATTCTACTCGATTAGCATAATTTATCTGTATTGTTCAATAAAATGTTCTTCAAATTTACAATTTAAATTTTTTATCAAATCACCTCAAATCTAGTCCAAATGATCTCAAATTTAAACAAAACCTCCAAACACCAACACAAATGATCCACAATCACCAATAAAAAAGATCACGAAATCACCGTTTGAAATAAAAATTTAAACACAAATAATCAGCACTCAAACGATTTTCACAATAATCAACCATTAACTTTGAATTTCAATCACCAAACAAAAAAACAAGATTAGCATAATTTTAAGTTACCGAACGAACAAAAAACAAGATTAGCATAATTTTAAGTTATCTATTCGACCTATGTATTAACCTGTATACAAATTCTACTCAATTAGCACAAATTTATCTGTGGTGTTCTTCAAAGTAATTTTCAAATTTGCAACAATCCAATTGAGATCTACTCCAAATGATCTCAAATATGAAACAAAATGATCCCCTATCACCAATTTATTAGTCAAATAACACCAAATCAACGAAGACCCACTGTCTTCTTCAACACTTTCTAAGGACTAATAATAGAGTTTTAAGATTTTTAAAGTAAATCATTAAATTACTATTTGAAATAAAAAATTAAGCACAAATAATCAGCACTCAAACGATTTTAACAATAATCAACTATTAACTTCGAATTTCAAGCTTCTAAAATTGAACAACTACGATGGTCTTAGCGAAAAAACAAGAGTTGGAGAAGAAACATAAGAATGGACGGGTAAAAATGTCAATTATGTGTATATAAAACCAAAGAAGCCTACTTTCACAATAAAATAAAAAATGGGAATAAAAAATGAATACCAGTCCCTCATGAGGGCAATCTGTGTAATTTCGTGTTATTAAAGCATATAAAAATAAGCTAAATAAGCCTTAAAATGTGCGACTATCATGTGTCACTTCTTATTGCGTATAAAACCAAAGCCTACTTACACAACAAAATCAAAAATGGGAACAAAAAATGAATATCAGTTCCTCATGAGGACAATCTGTATAATTTCGTGCTAATAAAAGCATATAAAAATAAGCTAAATAAGCCTTAAAATGTGTGTTAATCATGTGTCACTTATTATGATAAGTTCCTAAAAGTTCAATTAAAAGAATTTGGCCAATTCATCTCAAGTCAGCAAATGTCGGGTTTTCTTGCTCGCAAGCCCAAAGCAAAACAATCTTGAATCTTCTTTCACGCTCCTTCATTGGTCGAAGGAGCTTCTTGTCTACTCCATTCATGGCTTCTTTGGTCTTCTTAACTCTAGTTCTTGTAATTGATCTCTTTGTTTGCAACTTGATCGAGCTGTCTCATATCACATTGCCATAGATGTCCTTAAGCTGAGACAATGGAAGCTGCTTCTACAAATATAGGTTGCCTTAGCAACGTAATTACCAGCTTAAGACCTGCAGCATATCAGAGCTCTCTATACAAAAAATTAATGCTCAACTTTGCTATCCAGTTTATGTTATCTTGCATTTTCCTTGTGAGGTTTCACCTTTTTTGACACCACAAGCTGCTTGGACAATGACTCAGCAATAAGTTGATGGCCAAACAAGTGAGAGTTCTTCAGAATCAAATTTCTTGTTGATGGATCAATAACATAGCCTTGACCAGACATCCACTCCAGTAACTGCAGAAGTAGTTCCTTCTTTTCTGGTTTTGAAACGTAGCGTGATATAGCCATATCAAATAATTCCTGAGAAGAGTGTTTCAAGAGAGGAGATTTTAGCATCTTTGCTAAAGTACGCTCCTATGTAAATGCTAGAGTTATGTTTGCCTCCAAATTGACAACTAAAAACAGCCAACAACCAAATTCTGCATGTCAAATAAGTGCCTGATACACAAGGTATAAGTCAGTGCAATCCAAATTCAAGTTAGAATGGATTCCTCTAAATCCTAGAAAGAACCTTATTAGCAATTAGTCACTCCTGCAGATAACTACAACATTGCTATCCATAAATCAGCACTTACCTTTATACCGTCGGATACAAAGTCATCTATTTTTGATCAGTTTTTCTTCCTCAAATTTAACTTCATTCATAGAGAAGCTCTTTCTTTTTGCACTTCTTTTCTTTTTCTTTTTAAAAGTGCACCTTGTGGTCGGGGGCAGTTTGCATTGACATGGAAGAGAGGCTTGGTTTTTGCTTCTCTTTTCTTCTTTTCTCTCTTTCAGACAAAGGCCGGCTAAGAAACAGAGTTGAATCAGCGAAATATCAAAAATCATAAAATAGAGTTTCTTTTTTCACTTGAATAAAATAGGAATCGCCAGTCCTAGGAGTAGGCGAACATGTATATAAGGGACAAAGTTGTTTGAAATGCTCAGGGACAGTCTATCTGAAACAGGTTTGGCAACCATTGTGGTTTGCTCCTTCAACGTTTTAAAACTCAGATACTTGTATAAAACCATTTTGGATGTTTGTATTTCTTCTATTGGACACCGACAGGACATCGCACTGCTTTGCAATGGGTCGTGTCTTCTCTGGTTGAACTTGGCTTCTCTGCTTTCCCAGGCTGGCCACCTACTTTGTCGTTCATTTTGAAAGTTAACAATCCACTACAATCAAGAGCTAAAGAGAGGGTGATGATGATGTTAAAAATAATGAAGTAAGGTTGCTTGATGCCTATTTCGCATTAATCTTACGTAAAACTGAGTAACATTAGACAGATGTTACTCAGTTTTACATTAGCCATTTCGTACTATGTTTTAAGATCTTGTCGGTACTATTTACGATATTTTCTTAATCTTCATTGAGATGCTGACAAACTGAATCTGTTTCATGCAAAGTTAGAATCTCTGAAATAGACGAGTATGTTCTCTGTGTCTTATGTTTGATAGTTATTTATGTTTTAGTTCTGTTTTATGTCAGATAGTTATTTATTTCTTATGGTAGATGAAGGAAACATAACAATGATAAATTTTGCCACGTTTGTGTTGTTCACCCTAGTTTTATAACATCCCGTGCAATGACGTACATGCTCCTCAGGCTATGACAGATTTCTCGATACATAGAAAAATACATTCTCCAATACTAATGGCCTATAAACATATTTGCTTGAATACATCTTTTTTGTCATTTCAATACAATCTGGATTTTATCTTTATTTAGTTCTGTTATTGCAGTTTCTACGCTTCATAGAAGTAAAGTGTGGTGACCTTTCTCCTATGATGATCACTTATGAGAGAAGACATATGCAACATTCTCACCCCAACGAACTTAGGTTATGTCAACGAAGGCATGTTCCATGCTTCATACTAGAACCACACAAGCGAGCGCAGGAAAAAAAGAACCCAAACCTTAGTATAGTAATATCAAATAGGCACACACAGTCTAAAACAGATCTAGAGTTAATCAATCTTATTGCCAGAAAAGTTCGATGACCTTCTCAACACAACATTAGTTAAGTCCATGATACCTGATATTTTAAAGGACGATGCTTATCTAAACAATAATGATAGAGGCGAATTGAAACTTCTTGTACCTGATCAATCCGGTGGCCAGAGCTGTGCATAGCCTTCATCACATCATTGATTAAGTTTACATTGCCAGATCTCATGAAGTTGACAGCAAACCTTTTGATAGCCGGCCGGGAGATGAATCCTGCATTGTCCTGTATAGCTAGTGATTAAAATAGGATTCTTTATGAGAAACAGCAAAATACAGACGAAAATTGCAAGAAAAAGTAGGTATGAAGTACCTTGACAACTACATAAGCATCTTTGAGAAGGCGCCCAGCAATCAAAATGTGCAAAATCTTCTCATGAAGGGATTTGGATATGGTTCTTTTGCTATATCTCAGCATGTTATATACAGAAAATGCTTCTGAATGTGCATCTGTCTTTCCAAGATAATAAATTAAAGAGGAACAAAGTCCCTGAAAAAGGAAAAAGTTAAACAAAGAGAGTGTTAGAACTACGGATAACATTTATGTCATATTTTTCACTATAATTACCAATGTATAGTGTAAAAAAAATAGCACCTCATACAAATTTTTCAAGTCTCATCATTGATTCAACTATGTCTAAAGCTAAAGTGAAACTTCAAGCACAAATGGGGTTGAGAAGATAAAGAACGGAGCAACCTAAATTTTTAGCTTTACCAAGGTAGAAGAAGAAAGAATACTTTAAAAAGAGAAAGAGGATATAATTATTTTATTCAAAAAAGAAAAAAGAACAAATTCTTCTACTAGCTATCCAGTGATTATATTTTACTTGTGCATTAGCGCAAAATATAGGGGAACACATCACAAATTAACTAAAAACTGGACATCAGCAATTCGGGGTTGCCAAAGTGGAGGCAGTTGAGACTGTTGCTATTAAAAAGGGCAGCCCGGTGCAATAAGCTCCCGCTATGCGTGGGGTCCGGGGAAGGGCCGGACCATAAGGGTCTATTGTACGCAGTGTTACCCTGCATTTCTGCAAGAGGCTGTTTCCACAAGGGTCTGTTGCTATGGGAAAACCAAAAAACAAAGAGAAATTTTGATGTCATGTATTCTTTGTGAAGTACACAACAGAAATTATTCCAGATCAAACCACTGCAACTATTTTTTCTGCTTGATGGTTGACCTAACCCTGATGCACTGCAGTTCAAATCATTTCTATAATTAGATGCCTCATTGAGCAACAATACAAGTTTACTTTTGACTCACATCAACCCACACAAACAAGCATCTGCAATTGAGCATATTGGTTTCTTAATCACGGGGCCACAAACGCAGTTAAGAAAAAGTAGTTTAGGATGTTATCTTAATCTAGTGAGTCTGGGGTCTCTAGAATGCTAAACCGTGTACAGAATGCCAACAACAGTTAACCCTGCTATAAATGCCACTTTCATTTCTTTTTATGGATTAAAAAAACAGTGAGAGTTTTTAACTTCTGCCTACCTCCTCTGGCTGGTGACCTTTTCTATGCATGTCCTGCATGGTACGATAAGCAAGCAAATACAGCTTCTCCTTGCAGAAATATCTTATAAGAATATTAAAGGTATTCCAATCAGGACTAATTGCAGAGTCATCCATCTTCTTCATCATGCTCATTACATTCTCTATTTCCCCTGCTCTGCAATAGGCAGAGAGCATTGCATTCAAAATAACTACATCATATTTGTCATATTTTTCTTCAAATTCAGAAGCTAATTTCTTTGCATCTTCGAGAAGCCCACTGCGGCAGAATGCTGAAATCATAATGCTATAGGAGTATCCATCTGCTCATTTATAACCAAAAGACCAAATCAAATAAATATAAATTACAAGAAAAATAAGACAGAACGTAAAACTTTAATCCATGTGCAGGAACCCCTCAAATATAATAAAGTGAGGCAATGATAGTGCACAAGGAAAGGAAGAACACATCGAGTAGGTAATCTCTAAGTTGATAGTGCAGGCAAACTAAGAAGAAGCAGTGCTTATCGACACCCATTGTTTGAGAGCATAGAGAACCCGGGCAGACACCGGACTTAAAACATCACAAAGTAATTTGACCAGCTTGAACATATGAAGGAGCATCAACATAATGTAATCAAACCAGCTAAAATACATCTCGGCTGCACAGATACATGAAGCAAAAGGCACCAAATACACTCTGATCGAACTGACAAAAATTGAAGAGCTCAAGAATAAATTTTTACTCATTTCACTACTGAACCTCACAGTGAGTTTCCAACATATTTTATTAGAAATTTTAGAATGGTCAATAGCCTGTCAATAGTATGAAAGATGCATACCAGTTTTCACATGTTTTCCCATCATCTCATCAAATACTGATTTTGCTTCAAGAAGAAGTCCAGACTTTACAAGGCCATCCATTAGGAGACAAAATGGCATCTGTAAGTAACATTTTGTAAGCCATAGAACACTAAAAAGTACGACAAGAATTAAAGTAAGAGCGAACAATCTGTAAGTGAAAAACTTCAGGTATACCACTTTCAGCAGATTGGTGACAAAAATCAGAAGACTTTCTCAACTTTAGGATCCATAAAGTACGCAAGAAGTCAGGAAAACATTTGGATCGAAAGATTTGTAACTTCAGAGCAATAAACAATGCTGTCAATGCCATTATTTCAGGAAAATAAATTGCCGGAATATCACTGCTGGAATCTTCTGGACATAATTAAAGATGTAAATCAACTTTTAATATGCTGGAAATGTGAAGAAAAGTTGGTCGGACGATGAGAAATCTGAAAACTCTTATTACTATCGGTAGTAAATCGAGGTTAAAAAATTTCTAGAAAGCACCTGAGCAGAGTGACAAGGCTCAATGGCTTCCCCATCAATTAGAAAATTGGAAAATAGTTGGTCGTAGCGCAGAGAACTTCATCATAACATTCAGACAAGTGAATAGGTAAGTTCCGACCACAAAAATAAGTTGGAACTTGGATGGCTCACTTCGGAACAAGCAGTCGACCTCCAGGAAGATGAGAACCTCGGCAAAAGGTGATTGAAAAGCTTTATGTCAACCTTTTAGTTAGAACCAATAATGAAAAAGTTTCTTCTCTGTGAAGGGATGTAACAACACATGAGATGTTCAACGGCGGGTACTGGTTATGCATGGCACTCACGGAAAACTAGGACGGGGTAGATTTAACAATTGCCGATGATGAAACTCCCTTGATTGCTGCATTCACGAATAATTTTTTTTTTTTTTTTTTTTTTTTTTTTTTTGAGAAGGTAACATATTTGTATATATATAAAAATTGGAACTACACAAAACAATGTAGTCCCATATAATTACAAGGTGGAATACAAACTGACGCCCAAATCCCATTACATCTACAAATAATCTAGCACCTCAAAAATAGACTCAGCTTCCTGTAAGTATTCTCGTTTACACCAAAAATAAAAAGGGCTAAACAATTCATCTTCATCTTCTGCAAGGAACTGTTGTTGCCTTCAAAACTTCTTTGATTTCTCTCCTTCCAGATTGTCCACCAAATACAAGCTGGGACAATCCTCCATCTCTCTTATTGGCTGGAAAGGCTGCCATCTGTATTCCAACATGCTAGCACATCTAGGATACTCCTTGTCCTTAGTCCAACTAATCCCCCTCAAATTAATGAAGATCTTCCATAATTGATCTGTCATTCTATAGTGTAAAAAGAGATGATTGATTGTCTCAGCCTCTGCACTACATAAATAGCATTTGGAACATAAATGGAATCCCCTCTGGGTAAGATTGTCTTCAGTCCGTACAGCTTCTTTCACCAGTAACCATGCGAAACAAGTAACTTTGAATGGGATCTTAACCTTCTATATCAATTTCCAGGGACAACAACCAATCTGATTATTGGAGAAGTTAAACTCCTTATAAGTTGACATCACAGTAAACTTCTCTTGTGCACTCCCACCCCATAATAAGCTATCTACATTTGTAGACAACCCTGTGAATTGTTCTACGGTATTGTAGAACTCTGCTAACCTGTCAATCTCCCAGTCATTTAGAAACCTTCTGAAGCTAAGGTTCCATCCTGGATCACCCCAAATCCTGTCAACAGCTATGAAATGCTCCTCTACTCCCGCAGGTCCTATTTGTTCAAGAGCTTCTGCTGCATCTAAAACAGTTGCAGCCTCTCTCATGTCAAACCTCATTAGCTCAAGCAAACAACCAGGTCCAATCTCGATGTTGTACCCACCATTGTCAAAAAACAATATGTTTCCAACCGTTAATACTCCTTCCTCCACATTGGCTTGTTCTTCTGAATGTGTTAACCGAACATTAAAACTACTCCATTTGATGTCTCCAACACAGTATTCAAGTACTAAACTCTTGGCTGCCTTCGCCTCTCTTCTCATCCCATTGTAGATCAAGCAAACAGACAATACCATCTTCATCTTCTTCAATAAGCGGATAGCATCGCTATGTTCTTTCATAGTCATCAATAGTTCATTTATGAAAGAAGATACAAAGGCTCATTCACTCAATTGAACAGCAAGTACTTCGTATTCCTTGTACAGATTTTCACCAACCATTGTTGCCAAGTAATCCAAAAAGCCAATTATCTTTGAATGATAAGTAGCTATGAGGATCATCATGCCCACCTCAGAACTCACTGTATGACTTATCTGTAAGCCCACATGAGTGATTAAAACACCAAGAACCTTCTGTGTTGAATAACTGGAGTATAAACCTTCAGTTGGAATGACAATTGACATAAAAGTGTGTTCACTATTATACAAGAATTGCGGCTGAACAGAAGAGTTAAGCACACAGCTTGTGTTAACCACCATACTTAGACAGTCCACCTGAACAAAAGAATCAGATGCGCCATGATAAGATTTAGTTGCATAGCAAGATGCACTGAATAGAAAACTATCATCATTGATAAGACCCTTTTCCTCCAATCTTCTTTTGGATTGTTCGCGCCGCCCGACATAGGTAACCCCATACACTGAGGTTACTGTTATCTGCTTCACCAATGTGTTCTCAACTTGATTAGTTAATAGTTTGGCTAATAAAGCACTGAAATCAGTTGCATGGTCCTTGGTAATATTTCCTATGATAATATGATGAACATAGAGAAATTCCAGTATAAACATCGGCCGGCTGCTCTCCAACAACTAAGTTGACAGCTACTGCCACCATAACATCTCTTTCCAGAGATACATAGTATTCTAGGCCATTGCATGAACCATCCTTAGAAATTCCGGCCAACAAACATGAATAAACTATTTGGTCAAGCACATGAACTGAACGAAAGTCCGCAATCCACTTCCCCATCAAGCCACCCTTGCCCTCAAAGGGTGATATGTGAAAATGAAGAAATAACCACACCTGGATCGAATGGGATCTCAGAGAAGTCCCCAAACAATAAGATTCTTTCTAACACTGGAAGAACTTAATTGGTAATAGTTAGCAACTGTTCTCCTGAAAAAAATCGCTTCAAGTGTTGGTCAACTGAGCAATATTGACTAATGTGTGCACCACTGCCCTTCCACTGCATCTCAATGTCAAATGAGGGGCAATGTATTGGCAGACTAATATCAACAATACCAACAGATCCAAAAGAATGTAATTTCATATTTAGCCACTCCCATATTACACTTTCAACAGTCTTCTTTATCTATTCACTTTGTCTCACTTCTTCATCAGTCAATGAAGCTGTCAAAGTAGAGATGAGGGCAGAGTTTAGTTTTTGCAATTTATGCACAGAAGCAATTGCAATAGACTTCCCAAATCCTTCCTTTGACAAAATAAAACTGCTAGAAAGATCCCATAGTACTACATTCCCCTCACTAGTAAACAATGAAGCACCCAGGACCAGGTAGGCTGCTTGTTCATAAACAGATGAACTAAAAATTATCCACCAAATGGTAGAATTTATATCAACGGACTCATACTTCACCAGCTCTTCTGACACCTCAAGAAAGCCATTCTGCACATAAGAAGTCTCTGTAATCACCAAAGCCATCTCAAGATGTCCAGTTCTCATACAAAATGGGCAGAGTTTTGTAAGTGACACCTAGGAATGCCAGAATAAACAGGTGATTCATCACTAAAAAGAGTTGGATTTAGAGCAACATAAAATTGTCTTTTAGGAACTCAACTTTGATCAAATACTTCTCAACTGAATCCTGAAGCTCCCTGTCAGCCTCAAGTAATGAACAAAAATCATATCCTCCTCCTCTGAAGTTTTCCCACATGTGGTCATAATAGAAAAACTATCAAGAGCAACAGCTTCGCGTTTCTTGGGATTCACACTCTGTTCAAAGAGCATTTCAAAATCATGTTCATTAACTACAACTATCCCTGAGTCAATATAATAAAATAAAACTCACAGCCGCCTATTTGTCTTAGTTGCTCATGAGACATAGGACCAAGGACTAATATTTAATTTCGCCACCTCAATAATGCAGAGTTATGGAGGACAATATTTCACAAAACTTCTTTAAGAGTTTCACAATAAACAGTTCAACAAGCCCCTTTTCCATGGGTAGAATTAAAGTTCGCTCAAGAACTTCATGACACAAAAACGAAATTCCGAATTGTCTTATGCATCTGTAGGAGTCATTACAGACTCCACGTCTGATATACTCTCTCCATACTTCAACAATCTTCTCAATTTCAGATCTCAAACTAGCGTTCTCCCACTCTTCATTGCGCACATGAGTTTCTTGAGTTGGACAATTACTCTCTTCCAATTGTTTGGCTTTTTCTAGTGTGTTGTTATGATCTTCCTCAGCAAACTTGGTGCTTCTGTGCGTCCTCCAGATATCACCATTGATAGCACGAGAAATTTGATAATCCCTGTGACGTTTCAACAGATCCTCAGTAAGAGGCAAAGCTCCAGCTTCAGTGTCGAGTGGTTTGTGCTTTGGAGTTACAAGCGTTACTGATGAACTGTCAGCCACGTTGACTTTGAAACTGTAATTATTGTTAAGTGGACTCACTATTGACTCCAACAGAGTCTCAAGAACCGGACACTCCACCCCAATTAGAGGTTCGACTCCTCCCGAGCTCTCTTTCTCCGGGGAAATTTCAGGTATACGACAACCTTTGATATTTGTTCGGTGTCTGCCATTCTCGTCTTCTCTAAGTGTCCCCTCTCTATCAGATTTCAGAGACGGAAACAAATTTGTCAAAAGAGCTAGCTACCTCCGTTCTAGCTAGTACAATTAAAACACCTGCCTATATCATTGCTTCATCAGAAAGAGAAGCTAATTTGTCTAAAGGCATCACTACTTCATTAATTGGCATTTCATCAAACATCTTGTGCTCAGGAGAGAAGTGTTATTCCTTTTTTCATAGCTCAAATTCTGCCAAACCTAACTCCGTAGGGATAACATCTTCATTGTTTGCAACAGTGACACCGAGAAACGGAGTTTCAGGAGCACCAACCTCGTGAGAAGAGAAAATACCAATTCTAAATCCTGTGGTAGAAGGAAGTTGGGCAGAATTAACTGCAAACCCACCATGGAAACCAACTCCAACATCATCTGGACTTGAACTGGAATTTGTATCGCAATAATGGTGCGCATATAGATCCTGATAAGAACCACCAATATTATACTCGAGGCCGCCATAGGAGTTTGGACATGCACTGTAATACTGATAGGCATATGGATCCACACCACCAAACTTGACACAATGGGGGAATATGGATTACAACTGAGATCCGCATTGTAATACTGATGGGAATTACACGTCGCGTAGGGTATCACATTGGTGTGACTGATGTAAGCGCTGCTTATAACCTCCCATTGGCCAAAAATTAGGGGAAGCAGCGACGAACACGGACTGCCGGTAAAGATTAGAAAGAAAAGGTTGGTAACCCACGAACAAATGTTGCTTTGGGTTTTCGAATTGAGAAGTTGGTGGTATGAATTGTGGTTGTATGGTGGAGGGTTCTGCAATAGTGATGAGTATGATGTTTGTGATGGGTTCTTTTTCAAGGTCGAGGTATTCAGAGACCCCAAATTCTCGCCACCTGTGGGTAACTTCAAATTGCGGATAGAATTTATCAAATTTAGCTCCGTTCTATCATAACTCTTGATAATATTTGATTTTTGTGAATCCAATTTCTTCACAATTTCTCTTATCTTCTAGATATCTGATGCCATCTTTAAAATTACTCACAGAGCGAGGATGATGGCTCTAATACCACTAATACATATACTAAATTTCAGAGGGAGAAAAAGCAAATTAGGGCTAAGCTAAAGCTAAAAGAGGAGAAACTAATGCTAATAAGATAAAGGTTTTTCATTCATAGTCTCTAAAAATGGCAAGCTCGGTACATATCGGGAAAGTAAGACCTACCGGTCAAAGTGAAATAAAATAACTACTTATTGGACCCAAATGTAAAAGTAATAACAGGTAGGTAAATAACAAGCTCAACTCCCATATACACTTCTGGAATCATAGAGTACTTCTTCCCACAGCTGCTCTATTTCTAAATCGTATCACTCAATAGTGTTCGATAATTCATTTATTCTTTCAATATTACAACCGCTAAAATCACTCCTATGCTGAGAACTCCAACTTCTTTCATTTCAAGAGTCAACTATATAACACTTTCTATTAATCACCATGCTATACAAATTAGGAAGGCTTTTTCCCTTTTCCCCATACCTTTTGTCCTCCATAATTTAATTTTCTGACATCACCAACTTTTAACCTTATTCTCTCTTGAAATTCAATTCATAGGCTGCTGATATGTTTCCAACTTGCAGCTCCATGTGTGAATATATAAAGAGGTGCCCTATGGATTATGTATACCATATTTGAATTTGATGACCAACAGCTATATAATAATCTANGGGGCGGGAGTGCTATGTCGCTTCCTCAACCAGTTCAGTTGTCACTCCTAAGATTGGTTATTTACACCAATGACATAGGGCCTGAAGGGGTATACTTCTTCTATGTGAGCTTATCACTTTATGCCAATAAACTTACTAAAAATTATACTACCAAGTAGAATATTAAATGAAACGTTTGGGAAGTTTTTTCAAACACATGAAATCCTAAAGCAAGAAGTTTACCTCATCCTTAGCATAGCCAAAAGCTTCTAACTCCTTTAATAGTTCCTTTGACTTCTCAAAGAAACCTCCTTTCACGTATACCTTCAACAAAGTTGTGTAGACCACCTGCAAACACATCATGAGCAGCATAATGAGTTTTTAAATAAAATTTTGAGCGCTAGAAGTGACAATTCGGAATTTAAAATGGAAAGATGAATTAAGTTGCCAAAAACAGTTTGACTCCAGACTGCAATAGCATATTGCAGTCTGCAGTGGAACAACAAAATACTAATCTTAAACTAGTCAAAAAAATTCCTTTAGACACCACAACAAAGGTCATGACAGCCACCTGAAGTATGCGCAAAATGTGTTTATTAGAAGACATGACATGGCAAATGTGTGACTTTCAACCAAAATCAAGCCCATGTTGCTGGAAAGATTAAAGTTTTTCGCTGGAAAAATGATTTTCCAGCCATTTCCCAAACAACTGCATTTTTGCAACCATCTTTCTCAACGCACTTTCTTCCTCCTCTTCTCTGAGGCTCACACCAGATTCAGACCCTATTATCATTATCTTCTTCTAATACTTGAGATGGATCATGCAATTAAATGTGATTTTCTAAGTGTACTACTCCAATGATTTTGTAAGGAGCATTCATGTTTATTTAATTAACTAGTATTGTTAAGCCCGGGCTGAGCCCGGGCCCAAGCCTAATACTAAAAATTAAATTGATAATCATCGGATTTAGCATTTACAGTTCTAGTCGGTATAAATAGATTATACGCAGATTATATACGGCTATAAACATATCAAGTATATATTAAACATTCGCTAGCTATTTTAGTTTAAGCGATTGGGTGAACGGCTATTTGGGTTAATTCTTCTGATTATTTATAGACATAATTTCAATAACATTTCTCTTGGTTTGCTTTGGTAATACTAATTACCTCTCNTTTTACTCAATAAATAGAATTTTTATATTTTTAATACTCATCTGATTATTTATAGACATAATTTCAAAAACATTTCTCTTGGTTTGCTTTGGTAATACTAATTACCTCTCATATGGTTTAAATACTATAATTACCTATTTTGTTTCTATTTTCTTGTTAAGAAACTGGTTTCAAGTGATATATTTGTTATAATATTTCGTAATTACCATCCTCAATCTTACATATTAGTGTTGAGCAGCTTAATTATAGGAGAAGAATCAGAGAATCAAATCTGTAATTAATAGCTTGATTGTAGGATAGCTTAATTGTAGGAAAATTGTATTGTAGCTGAATATTCTCTCATTATTTTCATTTATTTACTTTCCTAGAATAGCTGTAGAACTTTTGTATAAAGGAATGTACCAATAGGATGTAAAATACGTTGAAATATAAAGAAGCCTTCTCTTCTCTCAATTTCATCATGGTGTCAGAGCCATTGCTGCCCTTTTGAGGTGAGTTTTCTCCCTCCGCACACTAGGGTTCCATAGGATGAGTTTTCTCCCTCTTTTTTATAGTTTTCTTGCTAAAGTTTCTGTCTGAAGCTTTTTTTTCACCCTCCGTCAGTTTTGTACAAAAATTGGTATCACTTGAAGGATTACGCTTATTGTACGACCTACCCAAACCAGTTTTAGATTTTTCCGAACACTAGAAGACAAGTCCAGCGTAACCAGTAAGCTCCAGGAGCCTTTTTTCAGATTCTGAAGGTTGTTTTTGGATTACCTAGTGTTATGAACAACGTGAAGCGAGGAAAAGGGACAAGCTCCTTTTCGCTTAAAGCGAGAAGTGAAGCGGAATTTTAAAAAAAAATATATTAAAATAAATATTGATACCACATGTAACTATAAGCAAATGTTCAATACTTCAATGTAAAAATTAAAGAGTAGCATTATTTAAAGACATCTAATAGCCATCTTGTTGGTCTCGCTAACTCTTGCAAAATAAACCCAAGCCGGGTCTTTCCTATCTTCTTTTGATGCCATAAAAAGAACAACTACATAACACATAAGAAACGTAATAAGAACTAAGAATAAATGATATGAAAAAAAAATGGCAGTAAGTATACGAAAAAGGGCAGTATAACTGAGACGAAAAAATGGGCAGCATTTCAGCATTTTTATCACTGAAACAGTGCAAGAAAATGAAGAACTGAAGGGGGAAAAAAATTCGCCAATCTTTCGTTGCTATTTGGACACTCAAATAGTGAAAGGACCTGGGACCAAACTTGCTAGTAGGTTAGCAAGATCCTATATAGACACAAGCACGTACGTTTAGTCTGTGTGTAAGTTTATCTAACTAAAAATAAATTTTTTATTTTGAAGAAAAAACATCAATCATGTTATTAAGAAATATGGATCCTTCAAACGGCTCATGTAATAGTACAAGAATGATATATAGAGGTTTTGACAACAATGTCATACATGCAAAAATAATAATGGGCCAAATTGCTTCCACGCATGTGTTTATTCCCAGAATTCAACATTCACCTCCAGAAAATGAAGGATACTCTTTTGAATTTATTAGAAAATAATTTTCGGTATAATTATACTTTTCGATGACAATAAAATAAGTACAAGGTTAAATGATCACTAATGTTGAACTGTACTTGCTGCAGTACACTTTTCATATGGATAACTATATGCTGCAGTTTCAAGGGGAATATCAATGACAACAATAAGGGTTTTCATCAAGGCACGGCACTGAAGTAATATAAAGAAATACACCAAGAACATCGTCTACATAGAAATATTAGGACAGTTACAACAATACAACATATCAGCATCTCATATAATAAGATATTTTTAATAAAAGAATATATAACTAACTTACCTAAAATCTTTATTGTTGCAGGTTCAAAAGATATCCAATTACTTTGAATTCAACTATTGTGCGCTTAAATGTAGTGACATTATTTTTTTCTGTTTAAATGAACATTGCATCTTTGCTATTACACATAATTCATTCTTTTTTTTACACTATTTTATTAATATATACATAATACACGTGCAATGCACGTACACTAAAACTAGTGATTCCAATTTAGTAAAAAAGTGAGTATAAAGAATTTTTGATCTTTTTGCTTCATTTGTCATTACCGCACCAAAAAAGTTCTCGGGACCACAAATTATTACTCCTTAGGCAATTGATTGAGAAAAATCATTGACTGCAGTGTTAGGTAAAGAGTAAAACGGCTAAAAGTCAACAAGCCTGTCTATATGCTATCACACTTCCCACCTATAAAAAAATATCATGTGTAAAGTAAAAATAATTACTTTTAAAATTTTGGTGAACCCCGTGGTTTACTTTAGTTTCAAGTAGCAAAGTAGAACAATTAGATTCACTTTCACGCCAATTAAGGGAAAAAGAAGAAATTGAATGGTCCTAAATGCTACATTTCTATATATAGTACTTACATAATTATATTACAATCTGAGGCCTAACTTGAATTCAGCTTTGCTTTACGAAAAAATTCCATGTATAACTTTTCTGATTTGTACTCTATGTTATCTAGCAGAAAACAATTGAAATCTCCTCGAATAATTTAATTCGTTACTACTATCTTTCCACGGTAAATAAAATAGTACTCGTTGCTATTATTGCAAATGTAAAAGAGATAGTACAGTACGCACGAGGACGCTTAAACGCGCCTCTGAAAAGGCTGGAGATGCTGATTAAGGTGCCAAATGAAAACTAAAGAGGGGCCATTTTTCAGAAAGTTGTGTATATCTCCAGAGGATAGGGACGAAATTAAACAAAAATCTTCTGGATTTTTCGACTTTCGTCCATAACGGTAAAAGTACACCCACAACACCTAAAATACACTGTGGCATTAAAGCAGATAATGCTTAAAATACAAAACGTGTCCCCCAGGTCGGCAAGGAGGACGACGGGAAGCTCCTGAATGTTTGAAACTGTCCCTTATATAGTACTAATTTCAAAATGCCATAAATAGCATTTTTTCAAAGCTCTGCCAGATTAGTGGATTCTCATCCAAATCGGATTAATGAAATCACTCAACTCTATCCCTGACACTTATACATAGATCCTCCTAAATTTTGTAAACTCCACTGTAACCCAAATTGCAAGAAAGAAAATTCATGCATAAAAAAACTCAAGAACAAAGATTTAAAACCAAACAATTATTTATAAGGAACTCAGTAGGTAGAAACAACCAACCAACTCAACAAAAGAACACAAACTCACCATCCAACAAGCAAGAACTTAAAAACCCGCAATGATAAAAACAACCGGCAAATCATATCCTAAACCACAAAAAAAAAAGGTAACAATAGTATTACAGTTTTTTTCTCAAATGGTGCTCTCTAATCTGCTATCTTGAAACCACTAATCATACCAAATAAAACAAAGATGCAGATATTAATAGTTTATTTCCTTCACTGGTAAGAGAGCATAGAGACATACCTTATTTAATACTAAACCTGCAGATCTCATTTCTTCAATCAATGCTTCAGCCTTCTCGTAATTTCCATCAACCGAATAAGCATTAAGCAAAGAGCTATAGTGGTAGACATTAGGAGACTGACCTTCAGCTTTCATCTTCTGAAAGTACTTTTCAGCTTCATTGCACTCTTTATGTGAAGCACATACCGAAAGAAGTGACCCATAAGTCACACTATCCATTAGCAGTCCATTAGACATCAGCTCCTGAACCAGCTCTAGGGCCTTAGAGTATCCATCTTTTACTTTGGCACAGCCTGCAAGAAGCTAAAACGTGGCAGATGAAAGTTTAAAAGAGGTTAACAACAGATTATATTGTAGCTTCTTTAATCAACAAGTTTAATAGGCATCACATTGCGCAGTTCTATGTTTTTATTGCCAATTCTAAGATTCAACAATCAAAACCTATTTAACAAGACTAGGTGACTCTAACTGCTAGGAGTGGGATTTACAATCTGAAGCAGCATACCGTGCTATATGTGACAGCATCTGGTACTAAACCATCTCGCTTCATTTGAGTAAACAGTTTGAGACTGCTCTCAGATTTTCCGTTCTTAACTAGACAACTAAGAAGCGCATTACAGACTGAGACATTAATCTTTGTTGACCTATCTTTGATGCTTTTGTACATTACTAAAGCCTCAACAGAACTGAGGCTCTTTCCCATGAGCTTTACATAACTGCTGTAAGATGCAACATTGATCTTCTGATTTTGCTGCATCCAATCAAACACCTGAGAAGCAGAAACGAAGGTCAAACTCCTGGTAATAACACAAATTCATGTAAGGAAAGATCAGATGCCAAATCTGAAAGATTTCATGGTAATTTAAACTTAAAGGATACATAATACTCTGACAACAACAACATACACAGTGAAATCCCACAAGTGGGGTCTAGGGAGAGCAATATCTACACAGCCTTACCCCTACCTTTGTGAAGGTAGAGAGGCTGTTTCCGATAGACCCTCGGCTCAAGGAAAGCAAAATCCCAGCAATCATTAAAAGGACAAACAAAACAGTAACAACAGCAAGAAAAATAAGATAACTCAAGCAAAGAACTGATAGATAATAATGGAAAAACTACGAACTGAGAAAGCACGGGGGCAATACTAATGCTACCGGTATGAAGAAGAGAAACGAACGACTACTTGCTAACTTAATACATTAATCTTCGACCTCCACACCCTCCTATCAAGGGTCATGTCCTCAGTAAGCTGAAGATGTGTCATGTCATGCCTAACCACCTCTCCCCAATACTTCTTCGGTCTGCCTCTGCCTCTCCTAAGACACACCATTGCCAACCTCTCACACCTCCTTATTGGGCATTTAGGCATCTCCTCTTCACATGCCTGAATTATCTCAACATCGCTTCCCGTATCTTGTCCTCCACAAAGGTCACTCCCACCTTGTCCTAAATATCCACATTCCTAATCATATCTCTCCTAGTATGCTCACACATCCACCTCAGCATCCTCATTTCCGCTACTTTCATCTTCTGGACATGAGAGTTCTTGACTGGCCAATACTCCGTCGCATACAACATACTCAGTTGAATCACCACTATTTAAACTTACCTTTAAGTCTAGGTGGCATATGTTATTGAATCACCACTCTATAAAACTTACCTTTAAGTCTTGGTGGCACCTTCTTATCACACAAGACCATGGATGTGAGCATCCATTTCATCCACCCTGCTCCAATACGATGTGTGACGTCAGCATCAATCTCTCCATTACCTTGGATTATAGACCAAAGATACTTTAAACTCCCTCTCTTGGAGATGACTTGTGTATCAAGCCTCACTTCCATGGTAGCCTCATGCATCACGTCACTGAAGTTGCACTCCAAATATTTTGTTTTAGTTTTGCTCAATCGAAAATCTTTAAACTCTAGTGTCTGTCTCCAAATCTCTAGCCTATCATTAACCTCGTATCGCATCTCGTCAATCAATACTATGTCATCTGCAAATAGTATGCACCATGGCACCTTCCCTTGGATGTACCTCGTTATCTCATCCATCACCACGGCAAATAGGAAGGGGCTAAGAGCTGATCCCTCGTACAACCCCATCATGACTGGAAAGTGTCCCCAGTCTCCTCCTAATGTCCTTACCCGAGTCTTGGATCCAACGAACATGTCCTTAATGACCCTAATATATGCGATAGGTACACCTCTAGCCTCCAAACATCTCCACAGAACCTCTCTTGGGACTTTGTCATATGCTTTTTTCTAGGTCAATGAACACCATATGTAAGTCTCTCTTTCTCTCCTTATACTACTCCACCAATCTCCTTACAAGGTGAATGGCTTCTATAGTCAAACATCCCGGCATAAAACCGAATTGGTTCTCGAAAATTAACACACTCCTTACTCTCATCTCCATCACTCTCTCACAAACTTTCGTGGTGTGGCTTAGCAGCTTGATACCCCAATAGTTGTTCCAATTTGGATATCAACCTTATTCTTATACAACGGAATCATTGTACTCCACCTCTATTCCTCAGGCATTTTTGTCGTCCTAACAATGACATTAAACAATCCAATAAGGCACTCCAAACCTGTCATGTCCGCGCTCTTCCAAAATTCCATTGGGATCTCGTTTGGCCCAATCGCCCTTCGCCTGTGCATCCTACGCATAGCCCTCTCGCCTCCACAACCTAATACGCCAACAATACCCAAAATCTCGACGACAATCTGAGTGCTTCAAATCGCCCAGCACAATACTCATGTCCCCCTCTTCATTCAGGAGTTTATGTAAGTATGTCTGCCATCTTCTTCTAATGTGTGCCTCTTCCACTAATACTTTTTCTTCCTCATCCTTGACACACTTCACCTGGTCCAGATCCCGAGTCATCCTTTCTCTCGCCTTGGCTAATCTGTATAACTTTTTATCCCCGTATTTGTTCTCAAGTTCAATATACAAGCGTTCAAATGTTGCTATCTTTGCTACCGTAATTGCTAACTTTGCCTCCTTCTTCGTTATCTTATACTCCACCCTAGTTGCTTCCCTAATACAACTAGTTGTCCAATCCCACATATTGTTTGCATCCCCACTGCTTCCCACGCCCAATGCCCTCGACTTCTCCCTATCTCTTGAGCATTGGCGGTAGTCAAACTACATCACTTGATCCTTTTTTTTCCACTTGATCCTTACCATGTCATACACAACCCTCTTTTTCCTTTTCCTCCTAATTTCTAAATCAATTACCAAGAGCTTATGTTGGGTTGTAAGATTCTCACTCGGTAAAACTTTGCAATCCTTACAAAGAACTTTATCACACCTCCTAAAGAGTAAGGAGTCTATCTGGGTCTTAGCCACCGAACTACAGAAGGTTACTAAGTGCTCCTCCTTCGGAGAAACTCGAATTAGCTATCACCAACGCAAAAGTTTTCACGAAATCCAAAAGGAAGACTCCTCCTTCGTTTCTATCCCATAGCCATAACCTCCATGCACCACGTTATAACCTCCTAAAGTTGTTCCGATATGGCCATTAAAATCTCCTCCTACGAATAGCTTCCCGGTAAGCGGTACGCCTCTCACAACCTCGTCCAAATCATCCCAAAAACGCTTCTTCACCTCCTCTTCTAAGTCCACTTGGGTTGCATATGCACTAATAAGCTCAAAGTAAACCCCCAACGACTATCTTAACCGCAATTTCCCTATCGCTTACCCTCCTAACTTCTACCATGCCTACTCCATTACTATTCCTCAAGCCTCCTGAGTACCATAATTTAAACCCGTTCACATTCCGTACCTTAGTTCCTACACAATTGATTTCCTGGACACAAGCTATATTGATCTTCCTCTTTTTGAGAATCTTCATCAACTCTATAGACTTTCCCATTAACATCCCTATGTTCTAATGCCCAATTCTCAGTCTAGAGGTTTCCTTAACCCCCTACAACCCTTATCCCCCCTACCCACCCAAAACGAGGGCATGACCTTAGTCTGCCGTCGCTCACTAGCGCCACTAAAACATGTGTACGTTAATAATATGTACACAAAAAAAGGCAGAAAAACAAGTAGCGCTTTAAAAGTTAAAGGCAGACAAGTCGAACTAAAAACAAATATTGCAAATTCTAGACAGGCAAGCAATTACAGCCAAGCTAAGCAGATTATAACAAAACAGGAGAGAGATAGAAAGATAGAACCTAGAAAGCATCATAGTGGGTCGCCGGAAACCAGGGGGCTCACCGAAAAGCTCACCGGAAAGGGTGCAGATCAGATCGATTTGGAGAGGCCACCATCGGAGAGTGATAGTATCACTGGAAATCTGCCTGGCCGAGTGCTCACATGTTGGCTCGCGTAAGAACTTCGTCGGAAAAGTCTAACCTGTTGGGGGTGTTCAAAACCGATCCGAAACCGAAAACCGAACCGAACCGCAGTTTAATGGCTTACTGGTAACGGGTTAACGGCTTAACGGACGGGGAACAAATTGAAATTCTTTTATTAACGGCTTATCGGTTTAAGGGTGGATTATTCAATTTTCTTAACGGATAATCCGTTAACCCGTTAAGAATATATATATTTTTATTTATATATATTAAATATAAAAAAGACAAAAACCCTTGACCCTTCTGTTCCAGTCGACCAGTACTCTGTCTGTCTTTAGAGCAATATTTGTACAAAATTCATGTTTCTTTTACTGTATCCTCCATTGCCTCTTCCATTTTAATGTGTTTGTTGCTTTTTGCTTATTGAAGGGTCGTTTGACATTGTTGGAGCCAAGTTAAGCAGCAGCTTTTTCATTCTACAAGTTGCAATAACTTTAGGAGAGCAGAGAGACATGTAATCTTGTGTGTTGTTTGCTACTTCTTGTGTAAACTGTAAAGTAAACTTCTCTTGTGCCCTGAGGCAATTCTAAATGTCCCTAATACTTCACTGGAATATGTGGGATAATCATACAGTTGTACAGCTAAACATTGAATGGCAGATTGTTGCTGGATCATTACTTCAGGGTATTGCTAGTTTCACTCTCAAATGATTTGTTCTGCTTTTTTAACAGACATGTATGTCTAGTATAATTTCGATTTCTGAATATGTATGTCAGGCCGATAAACCGCCCGATAACCGTCCGATAAGAGCTAAACTGATACCAATCCGCCCGATATTTTATTGGGTGGCTAGCGGATTAATATATTTAAAAGTCGATAACCGATAAGCCAAACCGTTAAGAGTAAATAACCGCTCAATCCGTCCGATAAGCAGCCCTATAACCTGTTATTGTTCGCACCCGCGAACAGCACAGCCACACACGTAGAGAGAGAGGAAGAGAAAAAGAGAGAGAGACGGAAAAGCGGAGAAGAAACAAAGGCGGAGTGGTCTATCATCGTCGGCCTCTAACCAGAAAAAAGGAAGAGGAAAAGAGGAAAAAAAAAGAAAGAAAGAAAGAAAGAAGAGAGAGAAGAGAGAAAGGAAAGGGCCTTACTAGTATTGTGATGTGCCGACGAAGAGGGTCGGCGGAGAAGAAGGTTAGCAGATGGTGGAGAAGAAAATTCTCATTGGGGAGAGAGATAGAATGGTCTGACATTCAAAACTATTGAAAATTTTTATGGTGTTAAGAATATTGCGTATGTTAAAATGAATTAGGGAGACAGCAAAATTAATTAGGGAGCTATTGTGCATTTGTAATTATATAATCTTGATTTTTGTCCTAGTTTGTGGCAAAATGGATTAAAAAATAGTTATCTATCTATGTTATCAACTAAGAAATGAGTTGGATAATGAACTTTTTAAAAATGGGTCAAATATGGATAAGATTCAAATTATCCACTTAAAAAATAGATAATGAATGGGTTTAACTTTTACATTTGCAAAGACTCAAATTGGGGGTTCCTCAAGTTTGGGAGACTAGAAATTCTCCTAAAATTGATCATATTCAAGAAGCCATGGATAATAAGGATATCCATATTATCCACCAATTAACCCATTTTCTATCCGTATTAATATGGGCCGGGTCGGATAATTTATCCGTTTTTGTATGACCCATTTTCGACCCGCCCATTTTCTGCCCCTAGTTTAGAAAGTTGAGAGAATTTCAGGCAATAATCAATACTTCATTTCTTTCTTCCGTATTATATATTTTACATGATACCAGAGCATTGGCAAGAAATTAGTCATTTCACCATTACCTGTGACAGAGAGAAGAAATTAGGTCATCATGCAAATTTTCTGACCAACCTAAAGACGGTTCGAGAGGTCCTTGCCTTACGTGTGTGTTGTGCATAAACCAACATTTTAACAAGGATTGGGTCACTGCAGGCACAGGCACACTTTGACCAGCTTCGTCGTCGCTACAGCTACTGCATGCCCTCACGCCGCCACCTTCTCTGTATCTCCGACTCATGTGCCAATATGACTTTCTAGCCACCTTCCAGTTATATCTCTTCATCCATCTGGGTCGACGGAGCATTTCGAGTCCACCTATCTTGATTCCAGTTACTCCGGTGATAAGAATCCTAAACAAAGCAAAACTTTCCAATGAGTTTCCCGGCATCTGACAAGTTTTATTGGTGTTTCCTGATTGTTGCGAGTTGACTAGGGCTTATGAGAGTACCTCTATATAATTCTAACTTTTTCGGCCAGATTTGGGTGCTTCTCCGACAAGTCAAAAAAAAATTCGAACTACTATACTTCCGGGTGAGACCTTGTTGTGACAATTGATTGAAGGTCTATGATCTTTTCTACCTATTTTTTATACTTTCCGGCAAGCAACATCATATTTCAAAATGGGTTCGGGCAATGCAAGAAGCCGGATAATTTGCTTGTCTAATTATAATGAGTTTCTTAGGTACAAAATGCACCTAAGTAAACCATTTCACAAATCACAACTGTAGTTCAAACTGGTTAATTATGTAGTTTATGTTTCTCCTTCTTCTACCCCTGAACCTTGGGCCATTCATCAAGAGTCCAAAGGCTTCAAGTTGAGCAGGACTAAAACCGAATACATGGAGTGCAAATTTAGCGACGTAACACAGGAAGCTGAGGTAGAAGTGAGGCTTGATACACAAGTCATCCCCAAAAGAGAAAGTTTCAAATACCTAGGGTCAGTAATCCTAGGTAACGAAGAGATTGACGAGGATGTCACACACCATATTGGAGCAGGATGGATGAAATAAAGGGCTTGCTTCCGGCTACTTGTGTGATAAGAATGTGACACCTGGAATTAAAGGTAAGTTCAACAAAATGGTGGTTAGACCGACTATGTTGTATGGGGCAAAGTATTGGCCAGTCAAGAAATCTCATGTTCGGAAAATGAAAGTAGCGAAATAAGATGTTGAGGTGGATGTGTGGGCATACTAGGAGGGATAGGGTCAGGAACATAGATATTCGGGAAAAAGTGGGGGATGGCTTCTGTGGAAGATAAGATGCGAGAAGTGAAGCTGAGGTGGTTCGGGCATGTGATGAAGAGATGCATTGATACCCCAATGAAGTGAGAGAGGTTGAATCGGTGGGTCAAAGGAGAGGTAGAGGAAGGCCGAAGAAGTATGGGAGAAGTAATTAGGCAGGACATGGCGCTTTTTCAGCTTACCAAAGACAAGACTCCTTGATAGGAAGTTGTGAAGGTCGAGAATTTGATTGGAAGGTTAGTGGGTAGGAGAGCTTTCTTCCTGTCCTTATCAGTAGTTTTAGTGTTACTCTTATTTTGTCGTATTCTTGGATGTCTATCACTATCAAATGTTGCTTATGCTTTTATTTTTGTTAATATTTTGTTGTTATTGTTGTTTTTCCATGACTCTTTTCATATACTAAGTTGCTCGGACTCGAGTGCGGGTATCCGAGACGGGGACGGATCCAAGTATCGAATTCGGCAAAATCAAAATTTTAAGATTCGGGGATGCGGATCCGGATATGGATACGGAGATTCAGCTAAACAAAAAATAGAGCTATAAAAATATTGTAAATTTTGAGAGAAATTCTGTGAAAAACTTACATGAATATTGTAGAATTCAATCTTTCAATCTCCAAGATGGACATTATTCTTTCATTCTTCTAAATCTGTTTTATTTTTTATTTTGAGAAATCAAAATCTCAATTTTTCTGCCAAATTTGTCGATGGACTCCCATCAAAGTGGCCGAAGTTAGTTGACCGTATCTGGGACATATCCCGCTNTGCTTTAATGTTGCGACTTTGTTGGACTGAGTCGGGGGTCTATCCGAAACAGCCTCTCTATCTGCACAAAGCAAGGGTAAGGTTGCGTACACATTACCCTCCCAAGACTCTACCTGTGAGATTACACCGCTTGTTGTTTTTAATAAATCTTTTTTCTCTTCTATTTCCTATTCTCATTCTCTTCCTGTTGTCACATTACCAATGTTTCACAAACCACGGCAATCGGAGTAGGCCAAATTATCCTATTTCCCTTTATGACTTTAAACCTAGTTTTATGTTCCTAGTTGTCATCCATTAGTTGTTTGTCTCAACACTTAATTGTCCAGTAACCTTTCTTAATAACTTTGTTGTTATGCAGGATAGGTTATGGGAAGATCATTGGTATCGAGCGTAAGTCAAATTGAATTTAGTACCTTAACTCGTTAAGGTCACTCACAGCCTGACCTATTATTAACTCTCCAAAGTTACTTCGTAAACAATTAGACATCCGAATCTATTTAAGCTTCAAAAAATAGTACTTGCTTGTCTCATGTCTACTTTAGTCTATAAATCATGTAAACTTGGTAAGCATACTCGATTATTCTTCCCCCGTTGTCCTGATATTGAAAAAAGTCTCTTTTTCACCTTAGTCCATTCAAATATTTGGAGTCCTAGTCGAGTCAGTTCTACTCTTGGATTCCATTACTTTGTCAACTTACGATTTTTCAAACACAGAGTATTCTAGATGGAAAATTTTGACTGTTGTTGCTTATCCGATAGAGGAGAATGGGGATGCAGGCTCCCAAAAACAGATAAGGGGTTGTTGAATAAGTTGTACAATCTTTTTCTCTTTCAAAAAAAATAACTAAATTGTCAATGATTTATCAATAGATGAAAAAGTGATAGGGGTATCTTGGGTAAATAAAAAATGGGTACATGCTAACCTACTGCCTCACGTAGTAGGTTAGCAAATCCCTTATTTAATATGAATACNATATATATATATATATATATATATATATATATATATATATATATATATATATATATATATATACATACTCCCTTTGTCCCAATTTATGCGGGGGTGTTCGAATTTCGAGAGTCAACCAAGTTTTCTTTGACCGCGACTTTTTTATATATCTTTTAAATATTTTAAATTGTTAATTATTGAGACTTATAGTGCTTTTACGTAATTTTCAAATATGTAAATCTTATTTCTTTATTTTTAAGGAAAATAGAACACCTATTAATTGGAGACACAAAAAAACTTAAAGACTTCATTTAAAATATGTTTTGTGTCAAAAATTTAAATATTCTATGTCTGAATTCACAATCAAAATTAAGAAGTTTGACTCTTGAAATCTAAATTATGCCACATAAATTAGGATAGAGGGAGTATATGTTACTGCAGACAACTTCCTCTCTTTTGCATATCAGTCCTCCTTTATTGGTTTTAACCCTTTGGTTTTTCTCTTATTAACATGATTTCATCATATAGTTTCAGTTAAATGGATTCTTCTTTGAACAAGTAGACAAGACACGAAGAAGGCAAAAGTGCCCTATGGTGGAAGAAAAATAGGACATGAGCAAGAGAAGAGGAAGGAGGTAGATTTTCCGGTTCCTCAATAGCAACAAGGGAAGATAATACGATAGATGCAACACCCTACATAGTTCCTTGGTTGACACACTTTGCAGGAAGGACTCTCTTCAAATATACGTGATCAAGCTTCTATAGGGCTAGTTTCTCGACCTTTTCTCCAATGTCCCAACAATTGTTCCACATATTAGCGGCACTTTAATGCTGAAATGTAGGGAGAGACCTAATTTGATAGAAAAACTTCTGATTTAATAAAAAAGCTTGTACTCCCTCTGTTTGATTTTGTTTGGCACTATTTCCTAATTATTAGGTTCCAGAAAGATTGGTATATATTTATATTTTAAAAAGAGCAGCCCGGTGCACTAAGCTCCCGCTATGCGTGGGGTCCGGGGAAGGGCCGGACCACAAGGGTCTATTGTACGCAGTCATACCCTGCATTTCTGCAAGAGGCTATTTCCGCAGCTCGAACCCGTGACCTATTTAGAAACAATTAATTTTATACATTTCATTTTACCCTTAATAAAAAAAATTATAGCCACAAAAATGTCATGGCATGTTCCAGACCACAAGTTTCAAAAGTTTTATTTTCACACAAGTGTTATGCATGTTTAAGATAACAAGTTTTAAAAGTTTTCATATTTTTTCTTGAACTTCATGTCGGGCCAAACTTTACCATACAAATTGGAAACGAGGGAGAATCAGATACTACTGATTGCCTTACCATCAGAAAGACTGTTAAAACATTGGAAACTCAAAGCATAACAAAATAAGAGAACTTGATAGGTTTGCTAACAGAACCTGAGAAAGCTCCTGTCGTCTACTTAGCTTCCCAAAGTAGCGCAAAATCACATTCATATCCTGTACTTTAAGCGTCTCACCAAGCCTGAAAAGCAGTTAATAAAATTAGATGCATAAAATTAGAAACTCTTTCTCGATTCCCAGTTGAGATTTCAACTGAACATCTCAAGTGTCGTTCTAAAAGACGGACAAAATGTTGCAAATAGCCAGAAAATGGGTACCTGACATTTCACCGTCAAAGCACATACAAGAACCAACAGCCACTTACATAAGTTACAGATAGAAATATTTTCATGTTTTGACGTTTTGTGTCAAATTAAAGGTGACTATAATGTATGTCGGACAATTGAAACAAGTGAGACTAAAATTGAAAGAGAGAGAGAATAAAAGTGAATATTTATAGTAGAAAATGACTCCCGCCCATAAGTGATGGACTTATAATTTCTCCATTTTCCGTCATACACCCTTAATTTTTTATTTTTTTTTAGAATGGTAACAACAGATGACCCCGCTTGACCAACGAGCTGGCTCTAACAGTTGTCATGCACCCTTAATTCAAGCCAAAAATAAAAAACTTAATTCAAGCCCCAAAAAAAAAACCTTGGAAGAGCAGAACCCAAGTCAGACGACTCCTGAATCTGAAGAATTGCCGACTGTCTATCATTACGGGAAACAGGAAACTGATTTGAAGAATTAGGAGAGACATAATCTGTGAGTACGTTCTGAAATTCGCCTGCCTCAGTCCGGGGAATAGAATCGGTTGTTATCTTCGTTGCCGCAGAGGTCGAAGACTGTAACTTGAACTTGTGAATGTTGGGTCTCTTTCTACTGGAAGTTGGAAAAGAAAAAGGAGAAGAAGAAGAAGAGAACAAAGGTGATGAAAGAGCCATTATAGAATGAAACATAGAGGAAATCTCCATAGTTTGCTGCCTGCTCACAGGCAATATTCAAGTCCGTCCTATTGAAATTAAAAAAAGATCTGCGCCTTTTTTTGGATAATTTCACAACCCTCCCTCGAAGTTTGGCTTTGTAACACTTAATATCCTACGGAAAGAGGGCATAAATATGAATAACAATCACAAAGTAAATCTATAATTGCGAGGAATATAAAAAAATAAGAATCTATATCTATCTATATTTATCTATATCTATATATAAGCACGAAGGTCATTAGCAAAATATCGTTCGTCTTTTTTACCCTCTAAAAATTAATTTTACGCTGGACAAAATTGTAATTTAAGTTTTTTCCTAATTTTTAGGAGTTCTAATTGATTGAACCATTAAATCTATATCATGATTACGGAACCATAGCAATAATAATCGTCGAATTCTAAGGTCGTATGAGGAAGTTATGTCCATTTTAGTATTATAATAAATTGTTGGTAATGGTGCACCGCATATGCGGAAAGGGTTTGCAGGTGTAAAAAATGACACCGCAGGTGCTGAAATGATGCAGGTGCTTTAAAAATCTGACTTCGTTTCATTCATTCTAAATCAATTTCCAGGAGTTCTAGAGCTCGAATATGGTTGATGTTCGTGGCGTTCTTGTCGTTTCGATGTAAGGTCAGTATCTAAACTCAATTTTTGTATCTCAACATGATTACGCTCGTTCAATAGTGAATTAATCTATGTTTTGGTTGGGGATTTGGTGGTTTTAGCCCTAAAACTTAAGAGGATGAAATTTATGGATTTAAAAGTCAATTTGAAGTCGTTTTGGGATGAAATTTCAAATATGAGTTCCCTAAGGGATGAGTAACCTGATTTTAGACGAAATTTCCGGTTTTTTCCTCGGGGACGGGGGTTAATGTTTGAGTTGACTTTTCTAAATTCACTAAAGATTAAAGCTTTTTGATTTGAGATTTCTTCCTAAAGCATGATTTGACCTTGTTGAGTATTATTTGGCTATATTGGAAATATTTGGAGGTGATTTTTAAAAGAAAAACGGTATTTCAAGATTAAAGCTAGCTTAGAAATAGGTAAGTCTCTTGTCTAGCCTCGTTAAGAGGAAATATTTCCCCAAAAGGTGATTTATGTGCTATTGATTGATTGATTTGGGAGTTATGTATATACGAGATGACGAGCATATATGTAAGCTTTTGGATTTGACCATGTTCGAATAGAGTTAGGCCTACATATGCCTTGTTTAGGCTATGTGAATTAATTACACATGCTTTATTTGACTATATAAATACGAGGCTAATCTTAATCATTATAGAAACCATTCTTAGACCTATGACTTAATTATCTGGGCTTGATAAAGTGCTTTGTTATGTGGAGCTTTATGATTAGTCGTAACCTTATACATGTCTTATTTGATTTATAATTTTCGTGACTATGTGGCTATTATTGCACATGTTAAAGACCATGTCTAGGCTTTATTATTCGTTGATTGGGCATTATGAGCTATATTTGTTATGTTAAGCCACATGATTAGTCGTAATCATACACAACATTCATGAGCATATCCGCATATTTAGTATTGATATCCTGATGCATCACATATATTATCTCATGTGCATATGGACACTGTTGATGGCCAATTTTGACCATCTCTTTTTAAATTAATTTATTTTTACTTAATAATTTACAATAAATATTTTTAAAGTATTTTTTAGTAACAAATACTTATTTTTACAAATCAATTAAATAATAGTTTTAAAATTAATCTCATGGTATTAACATTATGTAATTACAAATATATTTATTATAATTATTATTAAAATAATTCTTATATATACATTACATTGGTTCTATAATTAATTTGATAAATTACTCTTAATTTTCTAGTTAATTAGATTATTATGTGAAATTCGAAATTAGTGTTGCAATTTAGGAAAATAAAGTGTTTTATAAATAGTTAATTAAGTAATTAGTAGTATATATATAGTAAGTATAATTTTACCACATTTATTGAAAATGGTTAAGTTTATTTAAATAAAATTCAAGAAGGGATTAAAAGACAAAGGCTACAATTGCAATTATCAAATCAAAGGCAAAGTGGCCATTTTTTAAATTATTTTGGCCCAATTACTTAAGCCCAGTCCGAAATATACCCAACCCAAACACCCATCTCTTTTCTTGTTGCCGATCCAAGCCACCTTATTTGCACCAATCACGGCACACCACATCACCCTCTCTCACCACTCACACAAGAAAGACAATGCATTCAAGCCGTTGATCCATCTAATCAATGGCTCACGTTTATTTTCTGATTTTCCTTTTGATTCTAATTCTTGCCCCCAGAGACCTAATCTCGACCATCCAAAACTCCATCATCCAATAGACATCGAAATTTTCCCTAAAATCCTAATTAACCAAATTATCAAGACCGTTGATCTCAAAGAATCAACGGTCTGGGTTCTATCTCCTAACTTTTAACCTAAAGACCAACCCAATCCCCTAGAAACCCTAATCATTTTATTCATTTCCCCTTTCTATCTCTTTTCTCTCATCCTTTCCAACCCATCAATCAGAGAAAACTTGCACGAATCAATGCAAGGTCACAAAACCTTCACCAAATTGCCTTTCGGTGTCCCTTCATCCCCCGAATCCTGCTAGTTTCGCCTTTTTGCTCTCCAAATCTGAGAGATTAGACTCGGCCAGTGAGGTCGAAACACCATTCCTTTGTTCTCTCAAATCAAACTTGCAGATTCGTCTTTCTTAGTCGTTAGGAGAAGAAGCCAGTGAGCCCAATTTACATTCTCGTCGTTTGAATTCAAAACCCTAGACCTAATCAATGAACTTTCATTTCATTTAGTTTCTCCACTCGCTCTGCCAAATCGGAGCACGCATGTGCATATTTCAGAGCTTCATCATGAATATTTTGTACCTAGAGGACAAACGTAGTGACCTCTAGATTTTGGGGCTTTATCCAATAGTTTTCCTTCCGCGGTCAACTGAACCTCCACTCAGGTAAAAAAAACTGTCATGAGTCAATTATTTGATAATCCTAATTAAGATGAACCTGAAAGTTCATAAGTTTCTATCATTTAGCTTAAGCATGAAAATCTAAGTGTTTAGATTCTTTCTTTCTATAACTTTGAAGGCAACTTCTAGGCTGTTACCATGGCATTCTCATGGTTATACCTAACTGTTGGATGCATTTGCATGAAACCATCTTGCTTGTGTTAAACTGTGTTCTTTTCATGAACCTCTAATGTATATATTCTGTTTAGATTAAGCTACCTTCCTCTTCATCAAACAAGTCATGATCATGTTTGGTTATAAACAACTCACCCGCTCCCCATGGAACATCCTTTTTTGGGACATTAAAGTGATCAAGCCCGGAAAAGTCCTCCAACGCGGCTATGTCCATGCCATTGAAGAACATTTTGAGGGCATTATTTGGGCCCGGCTCCATCTCGTTTGATTTCTCTTTGCCCGTTTAAGCCTCTTCAAGCATGGACTTAGTATATGATGGCGTCTCCACAATGTCGATGACACCAGATACCTCCTTCGGGACAGGAGCGGCTTCTCGGGAGGCCGCGACCTCCGTCTCTCTCACTGGTTTCACAGCTAGAAGGGGATTGACTTTGTGGTCACCTTTCTCGATTGCCACCTGCTCCCCCTCATTGAGGGTCGAACCATGAGCAATTAACTCAAGGTCATCATCCTCGAGATAATCCCTAAGCTGATAGAGGGGATCAAAGTCCGGCCCCCTGGAATTGGTGTACTTTTTGCTTTTTCGGACCCGGATGGTCACCCTCTTCTTCTTCACCTCGGCATCGAAGGAGCTCGAGGACTTCCTCTTCTTCTTTCCCTCCTCCTTTGTGGCAGCCCCAAGTTGCCTCAAAGCGGAGGGTTCGGCGAGTGAGGGCTTATCCTCATCCTCATCTAACAGTCTGAGCTCAATGGTCTTGGAAAAACATATGAGAAGGAAGAAGACTTAGCGAAATATAAGTGTCGTGTATGAATGTAATCATTCGGGAGAGCCTCACCTTGGGAACGGGCCTCCCACTTGCCCTTCGAGAGCTTATGCCATGTGTGCTCGAGGTAGGGAATCTGTTTGCAGATCCCCTCGATCTAGTCCTTGAAGTGAGGGAATGCATTAAAAACCTTGGCAACCGCTGCATGATGACAAATACAGGCAATTAGAAAAAGAATAAAAGGGAATGCCAAATACTTAAGAAGGAAAAGACTTATGGGATGCGTTTCACTTTTTGGGGAATGGTAGAAATTATGAGAGGATGAGGTCTTCGGTTTTCACCCAAACGAACCTCCCATGCCAGCCTCGATCTCGGTCCTCGTCAATGCCAGAGAACAAAGCCTTGCTTGTTGTGCAAATGAGCTTGATCAACCCCCCTCAGAAGATCCGGGGATTGTATAGATGAAGCAGATGGTTGAGGGTGAACCGAGGTGCTTCGGTGTTGTTCACAAAGTGTCGGAGGAGGATTACGATCCTCTAGAAGGATCGGTGAATCTGCCCAAAGCAGACCTCGTACCTTTTACAAAAGTCAATGACTATGAGGTCCACCAAGGCGAGCATGAATGGGGAAGTATAAACACTTAAGTACCCCTCAATATGAGTGATGATGTCAGCGTTGGGCTCAGGGACGACCACCTCCTTGCCCTCCTAGTTACAGTCTACTTGGACTGTGGGTAGTGTTTCCTCAGTAACGGAGCATATGTACCTCCATGCTCCCTCACCTCAGTCCTGTTGATTGGAGGCCTTCTTGATGTTGAAGTCGTTCCCGATAGAGCAGCCCCCGGGTATGAAGCTCTTCAAGTGAGCCTCCTGGGCTACCTCAGGAATGGTCATCTCGACACTTGTGGCTGGGTGGGAAGATGAAAGAGCAGTTTGCTGAGGCATGAACCTGGAAAATATGAAGGTTCAAAGAAAAAATATGAAGATTTGAAGATGAGATAAAGACATGAAGGTCTAGGTTGAAGATTCAAAGAGAATGTATGAAGGTTGAGAATGAAGATATGAAGGTCTAAGGAGCAATGTATGAAGATTTGAAGGAATTAAATGTAAGCATAGAATTCGAGGGTAAATCAAAGAG